GCTCCCGCGGCCACAAGGCCCCTAAAACACGCCTTAGCCCTAGCAAGGTGTTTGTACAACCGCCCACACGATCTGAAGCCCCAACAACAAATCTGGCAAACCGTATCCGCTGCAATCCTAGAGGGGGTGAATGTATGCGGATGCGGTTTGCCTCGATGGCTCTTCAAGGCCCTCTCGGTGTGGAAGGTTTTTCCGCATTCATAGCAAATGTAACCCCTCTCCGCCTCATGAGTTTCCTGCTGCATGGGCGTTCTCTTCACCGCCTCGGTGATGCGCCTTTCCCACAGCAGGAGTCGGTGCTGGCCGGACCACCAGGCTCTCGAACGCGTGAGAGCAGCTCTAATAAGGGCTCTGAAACGTAAGGGGTCAAGTTGCACTGCTTCCACCCACTTGTCAAGCCCTCCGCTTCCTGGCAAGTTTTCAGTTTCCACGAAAAGTTTAAGCCAGTCTAGGCTCTCGCCCAGCGCATGGATCCAGCTGTGTGTCTCCAGAATAGCTACATCCAGAAGCCTCAGCAGGAATCGGGGAGCCGATCTGAACAAACGCACCAGGAATCGGAGACGGCTTACGTGTACTACTATCTCCCAGGGCAACCTATCGGCTTTGGCTAAAACTTCAAGATAAGAGTGATGATTTTCTGCCGAGTTCCCCGCTGGTAACCCCAAAGCACAACGATAAATAAACCCATGTGTGGCCCGAAGCCTCCCACTCACAGCACTCGGCATCGGCTTCCAAAGAGCGGCGGCATAAAAAAAACCTGCTGGACCCGAAGGCCTCTGCGCATAATAGTTTGCCGGTGATTCCTAGGGCCTTTCTGGGTGCAACAGTGGCTATGACAGGTCGTACTGCCGCCCTCGTCGCAATGCTCCTAGCTGTGATTTCCAGCCCCTCGCCCCCACCGTCCGAAAGCATCACCCCTAGGCACTTATGCGCTCTCACTACTTCAACAGCGATGTTGTGCTGGGGCGAGGTAATCACGGGCATGTCCTCATCAAACAACTTCTTGAAAGCTTTTTGCGGCCTAACCCCCCTGAAGCGCACCATAATTTTGGTCTTAGAAGCGTTAAGCTGCAGGCCGTGAAGCGCACAGACAATAAAAACAATGTCGACAACCCCGCTAAGATCTTGAACGAGTTGTAAGGGTTCTTCATTTGCCACAGAGGGGGTTAGGTCATCAACAAATGACACACTTGTCGTCGCATCTTTATCCTCAACGACATGGGAGAAAACTTCTGAACTCACTTGGGGGCACCACTTCAATCCCCTGTCCTCCATCTCGTCCTCAATGTCGGTCTGGATGCTGGCGAATGCTAGGTTGAAAACATCGGTCGCCATGATGGTGCCAGGTCGGCAACCCGTGCGTGGTATTACATACCCTTCTGCCCCCTGAACAGCCCCAAAGGCCCCCCTCTGGGCCTCTCTTAGGAGAGCCAGTAAGTGGGGGCTGTCAACATGCTGTTCCATTAGTAGCCCTTTCTTGAGTTGGGATCTCACTCCATTCATTAGTACTTGTGGGATGGCTAGGGTCTCCAGTGTCTCCTCCAGGAGCTCCTCCTCTCCAGGTAGATCGTATACCAACTGCCTAAGCGTAGAGTAGAAAGCGGCCGTCAAGTCCACAAATAAGTTACCACCGGACATCTTACGAGCCTCCGCAGCGGACCAAAAGGATTTAACAAAATGAACGGCAGTGTCACACGATCTACCTGGCATCCCCCCACATTGTTGCGTAACAAGGGCGCAGTAAAGATAGTCGAGTGAAAGTTTCCTCAAACATCTATGATGAACCTTGCAGATAGTATTGGTACACAGGATGCTTCTCTGGTTGCTGGCTAAGGCCAGGTTTTCCTTCCCTTTAAAGAAGGATCACACTCGACCGTCTTTGAAGGCTAAAGGTTCCCTCGTAGTCATGGAAACCTTAGTCAACATTGGTAAAATAACCTCCGTGATCTGAATCGGTGCAAGTTTCATCATGTCAGGGACAAGCCCATCAGGTCCTGGTGCCCTGCCCCCTGGGATGCCCCTCAGGAGACTCACGCAGGTGTATTTCGTAAGCAACTTCCCTATGTCTCGAGGGGGCATCATCCGACAGGAGGGGGATCATTTTATTGTAGTGATTTCTAACACCACTTTTATCGGTCACTCTACCTTTTTCCACTTGGGCGAAATGCAGCTGTAGATTGTCGGCCACCCCGCGCTCTGTCGTGAGCGGTCGCCCATCCGCGGCAGTAGCAAAGGGAAAGGTCGTGGGTATCTTCGGGGCCCGCCCTCCAAACATCATGATCATTTTGGCTTTTGCCCACTCACTCTTGGGGAGTCCGAAATCCCTAGCCCCTTGCAACTCAGCTGCCTTCAAGTCAAGGTAGTCACACCTGTCTCTCTCAAGCTCGCTTATCAGAATTGCGTCTGTGTCCAAGAGGAACTGCTGCATGGCTAACTTAGCCTGCAGGTCCGTGTTGATCCTATGCGCCATTCTGGCGAGGGCGCGAACAGGTGCAAGGTATGCTGGCATCCACTGGGCAGCACTGGTGTTCAAAGCGAAGCCTAGAATGTCCCCATGTCTCAGACGGCCTCTGAAACGCAACAAGCAAAGCGCAGCCTCGAGATCCCCACAGGGAGCCCCAGAGACCTTCTTGAGAACCCTCGAGACCCCCCGCCTAGTAGTGATCAAGTCCATAGAAGAGGCAGAAACATAGCACTGACGGGGCCTCCTAGGGGGCAACTCCAAAGGCCTTCCCCGCAGCATCCTTGATAGTGCGGTCCACCTCCACATGATGCTCCGATACGGGCGTCGACCAAGGCACTGACTGTGCCCTTTTAAGCCCTTGCTTAAAGAGCTCAACCTTTTCGGGGTCCTCGAAAGCCTTCCTATCAAGTCTCTTGGCGCTAGGGATCTGGCGGACTTGCGCAGCGGCCCAAGAGAAAGTGACAACGACTGCCCGGTGATCCACGTGAAGCGACATCTTGTCGAGAGAAAGAAGCGCGTCGGATGAAAGGGCGTGGTTGGCAAGCCACTGCTGCGCAGAGACAAAGTCGATCCTGTGTCGATAACCGTGATTCGATTCCCATGTCCAAGCATCAACCGCACCGAGAAATGCGTTAACAGCCCGATGCTCAGCTGCGAGCAAGTAGGCGCGTAGGAAATCTCCTCCCTCGTCCTGTTCTTGACGGAAACCAGCGTCCCCCACCGAGGGTGACGTGAGACTCCCCAATCTACCGTTGGCATCAATAAAAACGAGGTCAGGCCTCCAAGATTCCTGAAGCTCCTGAATCTTCTCCCAGAACAAGGCTCGAGCGCAATCCCCCGAGCCCGAGCGCGGCGCATGAGCCACTAGGATGTGCATCCCCAGCCCAGGGGCATTCACCGCCACCAGCAGCCAACGAGGAGCGGCGGCGATAACACGAAAGTGTTTTTTTCAAAGAAAAGTGGGTTGGTGTGCGTCTGACCGTATGCTAACTTTAGATTCACCCATAACTCGCATCCTAGCTCATTGGCTTGGTGACCAGACGAAATCACGAAAAACGCCCCAGAACAATGAGCACCTCTCGGGTTTCTCGCTTCCTGGACGCCTGCCAACAATATCCCTTCAGCGTCGAACTGAGCCTTGATGGCTAGGTTCCTCGCGAAGCGCATTTTACCTTTGCGCCCTCTCCGCTTGGCCACTGCCGCACTCTTCGCGTTGAAAGTAGCCCCTTTTAAATCCAGAACATGGGTGGCCTTACTAGTCCTCAATGGCGGACGGTGTCCTAGATCTTCGGCAGAGCCATCGACAGGAGGTGCCCTGAGACCCGTATCCTCAAGAACGGGGAAGGCTTCCAGGTTCTGCTGCGAGGGCCTGTCGAGTCATTCCCATTCACGATATGTTTCATATTTGGTTACCTCCGCCCATACAGGGGACACGAAACAGGGCCCCCACTTATCCAGCCCCACTAGGTTAGCCAGGTGGTCTGCCAAGGATTTCCAGGGGTGCCCCTCATGGCCCTTGAGATGCATAACTCTGGTTGGCTCTTTTCCTAGGTCTGGCCACCTAGATCTGACAATTGACAATGCAATGTCATGTAAAATCTGCATCATGCGAGCAATTACGTTATCATCCCGAACCGAAGCGCTGCCGTCTATGTAGTTGCAGACATTGAGCGAGTCCGTGTGGATCGTGATCGGCGGATGTTCTGGGTCGCTGATGACCGCCATGAGGGCCCACGCAACTGCTGCGCACTCGATGTCGGCACTGTCTAGACATCCCCTCGCTCTCGATGTGAGGAATGAGGTGTTGAAAGGTGCTGCCCACACTCCCTGGTAAGAAACCCCCTCCTCATCCGCAGCAACTTTGACAATAGCCCAGGCCCCAGATTCATCTTCCACATGCCTAAGGGACCCATCGGTGAAATAGGCAACTTCCCCCATGGGAACCTCTCTCACGGGGCATAACTCCAGGGCCCAGGAAGACTCAACGGGGACCCCCTCAGGAAAGGAAACGACCCAAGGCATAGGAGGAACGGAGAGAACGAGTTCCAGGACGGTCGGGCCTCGCTCACAAGGGCACCATATCTGTGCATCTAAGGGGGGAGAAAAGGTATTGGAATTGTTTGTACACCTAGCTGGCGCTTCTCCGCCTTCCGACCCAGGCAGAGCGTCTCTGTGAAACTCTTCGGACATTTGCCCCATGTCCTGCTCCTCCTCCACTTCAAGCGGGTCAGAGTCTAGATCAAACAGAGGCGCATACCTATTGTTGGCGTAGCGCCTATGTAGGCTGGTCGTGGCACGATCGACTCCCCCCTCTCGACCGTCACCCCCCTCCTCATTCAGACCGACCGATCTACGCCTATGGATCCCCACTGGCGGATCAGAGTCGGTCGCAACAGACTTGTTGCTGGTGTGTGCATTGCATACTATACTATTACGAAACTTTGTGTCGGGCTGATCTCTCTCCCTGGATCTAGCTCCCCTCATGCATGACCTGGCCGTGGTGGAGGAGTGGAGAGGAGCATGATAACCCAAGAGAGGGGTATTGTCACCAGGCCTGTAGGTCCTAACAAAGCTATTCCCGAAACGTACCACTCTTAGGCGGTCCTGGCTTCTTTCCTGGGTGGGCTGTTTATCTCCTTGGGACCCCACCCACCGGTAGCAGAAGTGGATTCTCTTGCGAGAGGGCCCCAGGAAAAAAAGGCTGGGTTGGTGCCAAAAAGGGGGCGCTCATATCACATGGCCCTTTAATTCCTCCATTTCCTCATCTTTGGCCTCCACCTTAGCCTGGGTGCCGTAGGGATCCTCCGCGATCTCTGTGGGCGAGGCGCTCACCTCCACCATGATGGGGGACTGCGAGATGCCCCTGCCCTCGCTCTGCACTGGCGTTGCTGTACCTCCGACCAGCGTTGGTGGACATGGCTGCGCCGCTGGGATACTTGATGGCGAGTTTGGTATACCACCTTCTGCATGATTAGACGCACTAGTGTTGGTCTGCTGCTGCAAGCGGGTCATGATCGTACCCATTCGAGTATCATTGTATGTCTGGCGTTGGCATAACATTTTTACCATCTCCGACAATTGCTTGATCTCCATGTCTGGCTGATAGGACTGAGGCGGCATCGGTGGGAACTGCTGTTGTCGCTGCATTCCCTGTGGGGCGAAAACTACAGTCATATTCATGTCCATCGCTGGCGTACAGGCTGGAGGTGGCGGCGGCGGTACTGGTGTTGGTCTCCCGCCCATGTTGACATTGTCGCCCGCCATGGCCTCATCCTCTTCCCCCACCATGTAATCCTCCAGCTCTTCCAGTTCGTCGATGGCTGCTTTCCACTCGGCTAAGTCTTTTTCCACATCTCGATACTGAATTTGCATCTCATTGATCTTGGCCATCATGGTTTTCAAGTAGGTCTGGCATGTGTCCCTTTTGATGTTCAAGTCCGCCAACTGATCCACCAATCTCTCCGTAGTGCCCATCATGTATTTAAGACATGCCACCTCCTTGATGCAATGATTATGATCCGTTGTGCCAGCTCTTACGGCAACTATGATCAGGCGAGCAATCTCGAACATCCTCTGCTTGGTTTTGACCTTGCAGGCCTGGTGACCTGGAATATCAGCTGGCACCTGTTCGTACCCGAGAAACTGCATGTATGAGATTGCTTCTGACCTTTTCATCGTGACAACTCTGCCTAGAAACCTTTTGATCTCCTCTTGTTCCTGACGTATGCCTTTTCGACCCTGTTCATGGAAGTCTTTCTGACCATCCCTCCTTGACCGACTGTGAGGTCGTCGTGAATGTTGCTGTTGCTGACGCTGGGGTGTCTTCCCTCTGACGCGCTGCTCATAGTTACGTCCACATAGACACGCCCAGTGGTGCCCCCGTACGTACCGTCCGCATGCGCAATCCCATATGTGACCAGATCCTGAAGGCATCTTCACAAAGTGGGGCGAATTATGATGACTTCTTAATAGGGACTGGGCTTTGTATAATGATAGCAGGACTCTCGCTCGATGTCGGCGCTCCCTGGCACGCCGATGCCAGCGCGGCTCAGGCGCCGTGATGTGCGGTGTGATAAGGAAAGTACAGGGAATAGAAGAGAAAGTTACAATGCTCTCCTTCGCGGCCTTGCGCAGGCACGCCTAAGGCTCGGCCTGCACCTGGGCCAAACGCCTTCTCCTCCTGCTCCTCCTCCTCCTCCTCCTCCACCTCCTCCTCCTCCTGCTCCTCCTCCTCCTCCTCCTTCTGCTCCTCCTCCTCCTCCTGCTCCTCCTCCTCCTCCTCCTCCTCCTCCTCCTCCCTCCTTCTTCTTCCTCCTCCTCCTTCTCCTCCTCCTCCTCCTCCTCCTGCTCCTCCTCCTCCTCCTCCTCCTCCTCCTCCACCTCCTCCTCCTCCTCTCCCTCCTCCTCCATATTCTCCTCCTACTCCTCCGTCTCCTCCTCCTCTTCCTCGCTCCTCCGGCTCCTCGATCCTCCCCCTCCTCCCCTTCACTGCGCAGACCCCAGAGGGCGCGCTGCCCCACGCGCGCGCGCCCTGCCCCGCTGCTGGCGCGAAAGCGTCGACACCCCGCCCGCACGTGCACGGCGGATTTCCGGAGAGCTGGCGCCCCGCCCCCGTTCCAGGAGGGCGCGGCGTGCAGGCGGGAGGCTTCGAGCGCAGAAGGGAGAGGAGAAGCAAGGGAAAGAGAGAGATAATAAGCACAGGGAGGGGGAGGGGCGGGCTCGAGGTTGGGCCAGTCGGTTCTCCCTCTCTCCCCTCCCCTCCTTTCCTCTGCCTCCCCTTCCTGCCCTTCCCCCGCCTCCGCCTCCGACGGGGGCTTGACATGGACTCGCGGGCAGTTCATGCGCTATGTTTTGTCAGAGCGAGTCGGCTGTTAATCGAATGGCCAGGCGCGCCCAAGGACACCCAGGGGAGATAGGAGATGGGAGGAGAAGCAGCCGTGCTCCGCGGCATGCCTGCGGGGAGCTCCCGTCCTGATGCCCGAGCCTGTCCTGACTTCCTCGGCCAAGAAAGTGATGCGAACAGGAGCATCATCATCATCATCATCATCATCATCATCATCATCATCATCATCATCAGCATCAGCATCAGCATCAGCATCAGCATCAGCATTAGCAGTATCATCATCAGCATCAACATCCTCATCATCATCGTCATCATCATCCTTATCATCTTCATCATCGTCATCATCATCCTCATCATCTTCATCATCGTCATCGTCATCATCAGCATCATCATCAGCATCAGTATCATGATCGTCGTCATCGTCACCATCAGCTTCAGCGTCAGCAGTAGCATAATCATCATCAACAGCATCAGCATTAGCAGTATCATCATCAACATGATCATCATCAGCATCATCAGCATCAGTATCATGATCACCATCACCATCACCATCATCATAATCATCACCATCCGTGTCCTCATCATCATCATCATGGACACCATCATCACCAGCACCACCACCATTACCACCATCAGCATCGGCAGCACCATCACCAGTGTCAGCATCATCATCAGCATCAGCATAATCATCAGTAGCATCAGCATCATCATCAGCATCAGCATTAGCCTCATCACCGTCATCATCACCATCATCCTCATCATCATCATCATCATCCGCATCATCAGCATAAACATCATTAGTAGCATCAGCATCAGCATCAGCATCAGCATCAGCATCAGCATCACCACCAGCATCATCATCATCAGCATCATCATTATTAGCATAATCATCACCATCACCATCAGCATCAGCATCATCATCATAATCAGCAGCATCAGCACCATCATCATCATCATCATTATCAGCAGCTTCATTATCATGGTCGGCATCGTCAGCATCAGCTTCAGCATCAGCATAAGCATAATCACCATCATCATCAGCAGCATCAAAATTAGCACTAGCAGCATCGTCATCACCATCATCATGATCAGCAGTATCAGCATCATCATCAGTATCGGCATCATCGTCATGGGCACCATCATCACCATCACCATCACCACCAACACCACAAGCATCGGCAGCACCAGCATCATCATCATCATCATCATCATCATCATCATCATCATCATCATAATCAGCAGCAGCATCATCATTACCATCATCATCAGTAGCATTAGCATCATCATCATCAGAATGAGCATCATTTTCATCATCAACCTCATCACCAGTAGCATCAGCATCATCAGCAGCAGCATCATCGTCATCGTGACGGCCCGCGGACTGGCTCGTGACTGGAGGCGCGGGCCTCAATTCTCGACGTTGGTCTGGTTGTCACAGCGAACCTGGAACCCCAAAGTACACCATCGCGCTGCTTTGCGCAATGAGGAAGGGGAGTTGTGTGCGGTGGAAGGAGGAGGTGCGGACGAACAGGAGGATGAACAGGAGGTAGAGGAGGAGAATGCGGAAGGAGGAGGGCGAGGAGGAGCAGCAGCATTAGGAGCAGGAGCGGGAGGAGCGGGAGGAGCAGGAGGACAAGGGGAAGGTGGAGGAGGGGAAAGGAGCGGGGCGACAACGACGAGGAAGAATTTGTATACCTAGCTGCCCACGAAACACTTGACACAGATTAGAGAGATACGGCGGCGGGGGGAGGTCGGGGGGTCAATTGCGTTTTCACAGGGGTTGATCGATCCGTGCGTTTGGAGCTTGGGGAAAAGTCGCATGCGCGCGCAGCTTTTCATCAATTTGTGGTGTGTACGCTGCGCTGGTTGCGGCGGTAGACACAGAGCCCGCGGCTCCAGGGATGGAGAAGTGCTGGGAGCGCAGACGGGCCCCGAGTCACGAGGAACAGAACTGGGGGAAGTGGAGGGACTCTGACGGGATAGGCGCAGGGAGACCCGGGGACACCAAGACGACCGCACATATCAGGGAACTGACTGTCTGGGCAAGGCGACCAGCATCCCTGAATGGGCCCGTTGCGTCTGGTCCGTGGCAGAGTTTTTCAGATCGGGCTAGCTTATTCGTGCCATCCACGGGGGTTCGGGCGGAGGGCGTCTGACACTACCGCGCGCCTAACGCCGCGCCTCTTGCGGGGTAGAACGTGGCGGCAGCATGGGGGGCATAAGTAGTTCCCGACCTTCCCCTTCTCCGCCTCCTCCTCCACCTCCTCCTCCTCCTCCTCTTCCCTCCTCCTCCTCCGCCGCCTCCTCCTCATTATCATCCTCCTCCGCCGCGCATGAACCTCGGAGGCGGAACGCTGGTTTGGCGGGCGGGGCCAGCAGACGTGCCAACACGGCGAGACATCTCCTGCTCGCACGAGAACTTCTGTCAGCGACCCTCGTTCGGGCGGACACCGGGCCGAACTGTATCGATGACAGGGACACTTCCTGTTGTGGCAACGGCGGCGCAGATGTGACGCCTGGGGCGGGTCTGTGCCGCCGTTCACGTTGCGAGGTCCGACTGCACGTGAATTCACGCAGGCACCTTGGGCACCTCCCTTCGGGCTGTGTCGCCTGGGTGTTCTGTTCGGGCACAAAGAACGGCACTGATTGGTACCACGGGCTCTTTCTTCGGGGCCCAGTACGCTCAGGCAGGGCTGGCCCTCCACCAACTGAAGCCCCATCCTGCCTCGTCTCCCGCGGTTGCAGGTTCGAGCAGGACGGCGTTCTTCCCTGGGCTGCCAGTGCCTCCGCCCGCGATGTAAGCGAGTCACCAGTCGAATAGGGGATCGACTACAGAACTGGTTGATCCCAAAATCCCAGGGCCGGGCCAGACTCCCCGAGCGTACGATCATTCGTGGAGTGATTGGGCCGACGTCCTTCTCAGTCGGGGGTCGAGCAGGTAGCTGTCGCGGTCTTGCCCGTCGGGGCCTTTGGAGAGCAGTTGAAATTGTTGTTCTGACATTTGACGTCATATCGCGGGCGGCCCAGCACGTGGCCAGATGTTGAATGCCTGACCAAGGGCCACTTGTTCGGCCGAAGTAGTTCACGGCCTTTTCTTACACGTCTTGCCCACGACTTCGAGGAGCTTGAAGGAGGCGGCGTGCGTTGCACGTGGTGCCACATTTCGTTGATTGCTGAGCCCTCGCGAAGGAAGCTCCAGCAGCTCGGCGCGAAATGCGAGTCCAATGTCATCCATCCGTTTTTTGCCCAGCGGTGTGAGCGTAGAGGCACGGAGGCGTCCTGCGAAGGGCGCGAGGCAGCGCTATCGGGACACGTGGCGCAAGCCGATGGCAGGCACATCAACTGTCAGTGCCGCGGGGCTCATTCCCGGGTCGAGGCGCCCAGACGGCGCCAGCTGCTTCGGCCCACTCGGGGCGAGCCTTCCGCGGGCCAGAACTGGTTCCGCCACGAGGTCTTGGCATGGCGCGGGCCCCGCTAGTGGACAGACAGGGGGCTTCTGGCGGACCCGAAGGCTGCCCGAGCTCCCCGCCTCCCCAGCTGCGGGGCTCGGCCCAGCCGAACGTCAGCGCCAGTGGCATTCCCGCCGCCGCCCCCTCCCTATCTCCAGCTTTCCGACCCTCCCGCCCTTCACTGGCAGCGTTTGATCCAGGCGCTGCGACTTGGACTTGCACCTTTTGGGCTAATGGACAAAATCTGGTTTGTTGATGCAGATTTTCATGAGCATCCCTCGCGCCCCAAAGTTTCATGTTGGCGGGCTGCGCCGCGACGTATCGATCAGTCGACTGGCCGAAATCTGGCGCCCCGCTGGCAATGCCAGCCAACACTGAATCGGGGGCATGGGGGCTCGTTGAAGTTTCCTGTCGCGCGATTTTGTTCCCCAGGGGTTGAATTGTGGGGAGCGGGAGATGGCACCACCGCATTCGGAGGTGTCGGTGGGGCTTCATTCATTTGGCCTCTGCCGCCACCGCCCCACTAAAGAGACCCTCGGGGACCTTGCGGGCCGATGCGGAAGCCTCACGGCCCTCGCCCAATGGCTAGGAGAATGTGGGGAGGCTGTCAGGAGCTGTCATTTTGTCACTGACTCCTCCTACGTTGTGCGTGGTGTCCACAGGGGCCCGGCCAGATTGCCACGGAAGAGTCGTGACTTGTGGAGGGTTTTCTGGCGATTACCATGCCATGCCCAGGAATGACAGTTGAGAGCCATGCCGACGACGCCCGCGCCCGGGAATGACACATCCCTGAGCCGAGGCGGCCGCCAAGTGCCAACTCCCGCCTGCAAACGCTGACAAGACAGCCAAGGTTCAGGAGGGACAAAAACACAGACGCAGA